CATGTTGTTTATTGTCCCTCCACGATCCCTAATCTACGGTGGCCGAGAGGTGCAAAACAAATCACAATTATAAAAACAAAATAACAAGTCAGAACATTTTTGAATTGTTATTTTGTTTTTATAATTGTGATTTGTTTTGCACCTCTCTCGGCCACCGTACTAATCTATTAAGTAGGGTTAATGAATAGGGCATTATTGTAAACATTTTGACTTTACTATTTGATGTTTGCCATTGCCATCATGAATGTGTAAAGTAATGAGTAATGAGTGGACAGGTCATCAGATGTCTGTCTGTCACTCACCAGTGCTGCTCCACTCGCTCGTGGCCATGAACTCCAGATAAACCGCCAGTAACGCGACCATCAGCACAGCCCAGAACACAATATATCTGCCGTTGCGCTTGAATTTCCGCACCGGGAGAAAGTTGAGCATCATCTTTACGTCCTTGAGGCTCCGTGTGGTTTAGAGAAGTTGAAAACCACTGGAAGTATCATCGATACATGTATTCCCGGTTACAAACCCTGTGTGAAAACTCAATCTCTCGTCACACTCGTTCACATTTCCTTCTCTGTGTCTGGGATATACTGCGTCTGCAAATGTCTCTCAAACATCAGTGCAAGCCTATGGTGCAAGCACAGGTTGAAGAGGCCACGCCCTCTGGGTGACGACGCTGATCTTCTCAACAGGTAAAACGAGAAGAAATTCAGTTTCGAGAAATATATCCAAGCAATTTCCTTTTTAAATAACTCCAAAGCTGTTAAGACAGGTACACATGTGCTGCATTCTTAATTTATTTTGTTAAAGGATAGGCCTACATTTTGACGAGATGTAATATTTTATTTTATTATTTTTTTTTCTCTTTATTCTTATCTTTTTATTTGTTCATGTGATTTTCCGTTTGTGTCTTTGTTTATTTGTTATAATTTGTATTTTTCATTCATTGTTAAATGTACAGTAGTCTGGTCAGAATTATTTTCCCCCTATAAATATGATGGCTGTAAAAAATAAATCTTCAGGTCAGGGACTGGGATGACCATGACCATAGAACGTTTGAAAAGTAACTGACCCTACTGGAACTACAAACGGGACGGGTTCTATGGTCAGATAGCCTAGCTTTTTGGCAGCAAACACTTAATATGGGGTTGGTTCATACAGGGGCAAAAAGTACCCCATGTGTAAAATGAAATACTCTGCTGTCTCTTTAATGCTGTGGGCCTAATTTTCAGCCAGAGGTCCTGGACAACTTTTTCAGATACATGGCATCATGGATTCGATCAAATACCAACAGATTTTAAAAAAAAACTAAACCTGACAGCCTGTGCAGGCCATGTTTAGATCTTCTAACAGGACAATGATCCAAAAACAAACATTAAAATCGAAATAAAAATGGGTCACTGCACAAAACATCCCAGTCCCTGACCAGAACCCTATAGAAAATGAGTGGGCTGAACTGATGAGAAGAAGCGCCAGCATGGATCTGGGAATCTGAAGGATCTGGAGAGATTCTGGATGGAGGAATGGTCTCTGATCTCTTGTCAGGTGTTCTCCAAACTCATCAGGCATTATAAGAGAAGACTCAGAGACATTCTTTGATTGTCTCCTAAATCAACAAATCTCCTTCTCTGTATGGGATTGTCTCCTAAAAGTCCTTTAAGGAGGACGAATGAACATGTTTGGATGTGTGCAGTGCGGCTGGTCTGGAAAAACCTGTATGACCTGCTGCTGGTGGTGGTTTTACATACTATATATTGTTTCCGGAAGAACTTTGCATAAAAGAGAGTGAGTGAGTGAGTGAGAGAGAGAGAGAGAGAGAGAGAGAGACACACAGCCTGAGAGACAGTAGGTGAATGTGTGTGAATGTGTGACCTCGGTGTGTTTCCCTAATGTCCACCACAGTGACCCTTAGTAATGTGTGTATGTGTGTATATATATGTTAAAACACTGTGGTATCAAACGTTCATAGAATTTATAATCTGTTACACAGTTATTTTTTGCAATTAATTTAATTTGTACATTTCAATTTAAGTTGTTATAATACTTTGTTTTTATTGATGTCTTCACTATACTATGTGTTACAAGCTTTGGCAATATTGTAATATGTACAGTCATGCCAATAAAGCAATTTGAATTGAATTGAATTGAGAGAGAGAGAGAGAGAGAGAGAGAGAGAGAGAGAGAGAGAGAGATACTAAAATATAATAATATATAATAATATATATATATAATAATATATAATAATATATATATATAATAATATATAATAATATATCCCAAATATACTAATATTAGAGAAACCTTTCTGCCCAGATTTGAATCCTTGATCCCATCATTCTCTGATCTGAGTGACACTGAGAAAATGTTCTTCTTACTCGGAGAAGATGATAATACAGCTGCACTAGCGGCTAAATATGTGTTAGCTATTCACAAGGCCAGAGACAGCTAATTGTATTTATTCATTTCTTAATATATACTGTGTTTATTTATTTACCATGCTAGATATGACATGATCTGTACATATATGTTCTGTGTGTTTGTTCTATTATTTATATATAATATGTTGATGCTTTGGCAACATTGTGTTACACAGTCATGCTAATAAAGCTATATTGAATTGAATTGAATTGAAACTGGCAATTGAAACAGGAAGACACAAAAAATTGTGGCAACCAAAAGAAAACAGAACGTGTGATGATCACTGTTTGACAGGTGAGGTTGAGACGGAGATGCACTTTCTCCTAAAATGTGAAGCATTCAAAGACACAAGGAACCTTTACTTTAACAAATTTAACTATATCCCAAATTTCAAAGACCTGGATGACATTTCTAAATTAAACTTTCTCCTGGGAGAAGGAGACAAAACTTATCTTGCTGCCCAATATATTCAAACATGCCACAACCTAAGGGGCAGTGATCGACACACACAGACACACAAATATATCCAAATATTGTGTTAAATGTTTGTGTATGTATGTGTGTGTATATATATATATATATATATATATATATATATATGTGTGTGTGTATATATGTATGTGTATGTATGTGTGCATATATATATATATATATATATATATATATATATACAGTATATATAGAGAGAGAGTATTTGTATATTTTGTATAACCTATGCTTTGGCAACATTGTTTGAAAAACTTTCATGCCAATAAAGCCCCTTTGAATTGAATTGAATTGAGAGAGAGAGAGAGAGAGAGAGAGAGAGAGAGAGATGTGCTTAGCACTGACAGAGATGTGCTTAGCACTGACAAATAAACACATCTACCTGGGGACTTCACTGTCTCTAATGACCAATGTGTTACCAAGTTACACACCACAGGCAGGGAGAGAAGGGCTCAAGCTCACAACATTTTATTTAACCCTATATGCAAACGTTTGCAGTATTTTTTTTTATATAAATTACCTGATATTTCTCAATTTAGATATATGCGAACCCTTTTCCTATTTACTCATATTAACACCCCTAGTGTACTTTACGGTCAAACGGTTTGTCATTAGCTATTTGTCATCATACAGAGAATTTTTGAGAAAATCCCCTTGAAGCAACCTGAGTTTCGGTACACACACACACACACACATGTTGCGTTTTCATGTTTTATGGGATCTTTCCGACAATGATTTTTTATACTGTACAAACTGTATATTCTATCCTCTTACATCATTTGATATCATTATTTAGAACTGTAAAATAAGCCGTTAATTTCCTTGTTGGAGCTGTTGGCTGATCGCCTGTGTGGATTTCAAGTCTTTGTGGTGTCATTTGGTCATTGTTGGCAAAACCTGACCCGCACAATAAAAATAAATTATCATTACATTTTTTTTTTCATTTTCATCAACAAAACAAGTGTTATAAGCATCTAAATTGTACCGATACTCTTGTAAATGACACACTGTATTCAAGTATGCCTTTTAGAAAGAAAAGCCAGAGTGAGTCTAGAAACTACAGGAGAGATCAGGTGTCTTGGTGTAACGTGTTGCATAGCACCAGAAGATGGCAGTGTGGACATAAATTTCATGCAGATGCACTTAGTAAACTTGAAGGGGATTTAATTAATGCATTCATTAACTGGGGTGTGTGCTTATTTTATTGCTTCTTGTTAGACACTAGTTTATTCACATTCTATTCAGTCCTTTTATTCAGTGGTGCTCATATTTTGGGACAATATTTGACGGCCCCATTTCTGATAATCCAGCTGTGACAAAGCTGCTTATTTTCAAACTTTATTTACAAAAACTAAGATTGGTAATATATATTACAGCTTAATAAATTTTATATAAATTTCGAAAAATTATATTCATTAAAAAATGTCCAAGGACGTAATATATTTTACGAATCTCTGTGACTTATCGACGAGCACCGCATTTCTTAAATAATAAATAGCAGTAAAGGAAACAAATGAAAGGATTTTAGTTTACATTTTGATTATTTGCTGTTTTAGATTGAAAACAGTGATTAGCTGACTGCAGTTTCACTGGCTTACACTGCCCAGTCAAAAAAAAAAAAAAAAGTCATTAAAAAGATCTTCATTTGCGTTCTAAAGAAGGTCTTACAGTTTTGGATTGGCATAAGAGAGAGTATTTAATGACTTTGACAATTTTCATTTTTGGGTGAACTAACCCACCTTTAATGTCTGGACTTGTCTGCAAATTATTCTTCATGCTCCCTCCCAACCACTCTTTCACAATTTGAGCCTGACGAATCTTGACATTGTCATCCACTGTCTTCCTACATGGTTGTTTAAGAAATAAAAAGCAACACACTCCATCAAATAAGGTTATAAGAACTGTTGCCAAACATAGAACATGCTAGAAACATCATAATCACAGCAATAATGATCAAATCATAGACACTTAAGCATTTGCCTATTTAAATCCAAACAGTAATCTTTTTTTTTTTTGGCCAGGCAGTGCATCTTCATAGAGATACTGACCCATTTTGTACTTTCACATTGTACCAAGTGCTACAATCCAGACAATACAGCAGGTTGATTTTGAGTTTGTTTTATTGTTCTAGTCAACATCAGAGAATCAAGGACATGGGAACAGAACTGTCTGTATGTCTCTCTTACACACACACCACTTGAGTAATCCTGTCCTGGTTGAGCTCCGTCACACAGCACAGCCGGGTAAAGCAAGCCTCTTCTGCCTTGACAATCCACAATGAGATATAAAATGTGCAAGTACAATTATGGAGAAATCATAATCTTGTCCACAAGAAGATAAAAAGAGACAGTGTGAGACTGCAGGTCAAAGTTCATGTTTTCCCTTTGTAACATGATGAACATCTCAGCCCTATATTGATGATGTTCTCCGCTAGAACAACGCCACAGAAAAGACTACACACGGAGTGAAGCAGACAAGAGGGCTCTTCACAGGAAATGTGGATGGTTTCTCCCATAGAGATTCACTATCGAAAGATTTCCAGTTGTGATAAGTTGTACACATTAAGCGTGGAGAATTTAACAGTAGAACGATGGAGGAAAAAAAAAAAAATTCGTACAAATCAAAGAAAACAAAACAGTCTTTTTGCCCTGGTGATCACCTCCATGCACGTCAAGTTTAGTGACGGGACAGAAAAGCGCTTTATTGTACAGCAGTGCGACTCAAAGAGTTTTCTAAGGATCAGCATCAGTTTTTGCAGCCGATACGAGTGGCTGCAGTAGAAGCTACAGGCTGAGAATCGTTTTATTTCCACGGTCCCTAAGTGTAAAGAGAGACGCCGCAGAGAACACGCCACGCTGACAAGCTGCCTTACAGTAATGCACACACAAACATTCATACACACCCTGGCCAAAAGGTTCTGGCCACAGTACAAAAGCAAACATCTCGCTACATTAGATTAGAAACCAAAGCTCGCACGCATCCTAAATCACACTTCAGGGGAACCGAAATTATAGAAGTGAATATATAAAAAAAATTAAACAAAACACAGTAATTCATATAAACACATGCCATTATGCTTGAGTTTGTTCCTGGGCTCCGTTTTCTTCTATTTCCATTGCACTACCATTCTGTTTCTTTTCCTGCTCCTTGTCTTGATCCGCCTCCTTCTGAAAAAAACAGCAACAAAAAAAACCAAACAAAAACAATATTAGATCGAAGACGACAGATATTAGGCGTGTATATCTTTTGTGCAGTGATTCAGGGCTAGTAACCGTAGACACTTACTTTAGCGTCTCTCTCTGCAAACTTCTGGAACATGTTGGCATAGAGGCGCTTGTCCTTCTCGTGTTGCGCTTTGACATGTTTCTGGCAGAGCACGATCTGGCTCTTCGCTGCCTTATTGGATGGATACAACTGAGTGACACGCTGGAAATCTGCTCTCGCCCTGTCGTACTCCTTCATGACGAACAGTGCCTCTCCTCGCCTAAACAAAGCCTTCTCATTATTTGTGTCCAGCTCCAGTGCCTTCACAAACACACACAAAAAAGGGAAAGATGAGAACAGTTTGGAAGGGTGCAATAAAGGTCAAATTTACTTGCAATTTAGGCAAGAAACATTTTGTAAACAGCCTATTTAGCCACCAAATACATGAATTAGGACTTGTAAAGTCAAAATCACAATGGCTGCGTTTACACTGCAAGTCTTAAAGGGATACTCCACTATTTTTGGAAATAGGCTCATTTTACCACTCCCCCAGAGTTAAAGGAAAACTCCACCGTTTTTTGAAATATGGCTTATTCACATTCTTTCCTACATTTAGATATGTGTGCAAATGCATTTTTGTCTCAGTGCATGCATTGTTTTAGTTTGATAGGGTCGGCGCTAGCTTAGCTTAGCACAATGAATGGATTCCTTTGTTGCCAGCTAGCAAGTCCTGAGTAAAAGTGATTAAAAAAATAAACAAACCCACGTAATTACTTCTTGTGGCCTGCGTATTCACAACGAGTACAAATAGCGACGCAGATTAACACTAGGCGATTTCCTAGGCAGATATTGACTTGGGACTATATTAGGGGGAAGCACAGGCGAAGCACTGCTGCTAAGGCGAATCACTGCTACTTGGGCGCAGAGAAGTCACGCAACACATGAAATCCCACGACTTCCGTAAACATACCGGCTTGAATAGTAGCTACCTGACTATTTTCCTTACAGTACATGACTGGCGATGAACATGGCTGATTTTGTGAGAGACGAAGAGGGTGACTTCTCAGACAGTCAAGAGCCAGAGCCATAACGTTACCTATTTGAACCAGAGTTTTCAGAAGAGGAGCTGCGTGCTTTAGAAATCGAGAGGAGGAGGATGTTGTGATCGCTCAACAGCCTGAGGATGTGAGGATGAGAGCCAACACGAACTGGTGGTGTGAATGTGGGGGAATATGCCAACCTATGCCAACTGAAATAGAGTGTCTGTGCTGTGTCGAGTGGGGCCGATGGCCAGGCCCAGGCTCTTGTGTCACAGCTAACGTTACTGAGGATTTCACGGCACTGACCCTGATCCATCCTGCAGTACTCGTTTTTTTTCCAGTGTGAGGTGAACTGGAAAAAACGCGCCACGCCGAATGGACCAAATGGGTAAGTTAATACGATAACAGGTTGCTCATGCTAAACAGGTGGAATTCAACATGACGTCTAGATAAAGCTTCTCAGCATCGATCTTACAACAGAATAAAGACACCGATAAACATAGAGAAGAGAGTAATAAAAGAACTTACTTTGTTCTGCCTGCGCTTTGAAAATAGATGGGACAGCCGTATCTTTCAGACGTAGTAACTTTACCGTCTTTCTGGGCACATATTCCATTTTTTCAAGGGTAACGTTAGTCCTCTGGTGCAAAATGCTCTTCGCAAACAAAACTGTTTTATTTTGTCGAGTGGCGTTGATGTAGGCTACAGATCTCCAGAGCAGCTAGCCATTTATTTCTCAGTTTCTGTGAAACATTACATTCGTGTAGTTCTTTGCTTGTTCTCACAACCTTTTGCTATGCAGGTAATTACCATGTTTGCTGTAACTTCTCAAAATAAATACTCCTAAAGCAAAGACACTTGTTGCAGGTCGCGCCGCTATGTTTTTTTTTTTTACGCGCTGAACACCGGTATGTTTGTGGAAGTCGTGGGATTTCATGTGTTGCATGACGTCTCTGCGCCTCAGTAGCAGTGATTCGCCTGTGCTTCCCCCTAATATAGTCCCAAGTCAATATCTGCCTAGGAAATCGCCTAGTGTTAATCTGCGTCGCTATTTGTACTCGTTGTGAATACGCAGGCCACACGAAGTAATTACGTGGGTTTGTTTATTTTTTTTAATCACTTTTACTCAGGACATGCTAGCTGGCAACAAAGGAATCCATTCATTTTGCTAAGCTAAGCTAGCGCCGACCCTGTCAAACTAAAACAATGCATGCACTGAGACAAAAATGCATTTGCACACATATCTAAATGTAGGAAAGAATGTGAATAAGCCAGATTTCAAAAAACGGTGGAGTTTTCCTTTAAACAGTTGAGTTTTACCGTTTTCGAATGTATTCAGCCGATTTTCTGATATTTAGAAGACTACCAGTCACCAGACAGTTTCTGGTCTCATTGACTTCCATAGTATATTTTTTCCTACTATGGAAGTCAATGGGACCAGAAACTGTCTGGTTATTGATAGTCTTCTAAATATCAGAAAAATCAGCTGACTGGGTTCAAAAATGATAAAAGCTAACTGTTTAACTCTGGGGTGTTGTAATATGAGCCCATTTCCAAAAATAGTGGAGTATCCCTTTAATGCACAGATCGAACCTTTTGACTATACATGATGTCCCACCTGATTACATTCACGTTAGACACGAATGGTAGCCGATAGGGATGCCACAATCCTCAATATAATATTGAACCATTTGGTACGACATCCACAGTTCAATACACGCTTGTGAATTGCGTTTTTTCCAGTTTTAAATTAAAATAATTAATGTCTGTTTTACTTGTCTCCTAATTGACTGTTTGTGCGTGCCTGTAAGTCTACGAGGTGAGATGAGGAAACTCCTCCCCGCGAATAAATATCCAATCACTATGCTCTAAATATTAGGGGGCGCATGCACGGCTTAACTATCAATCCATACTTTAACATGGTGAGCGGTGGCTACAGTACGAGGAAGCAACAGCGTCTTTCAAATCCGTGGTGTGGGGACATTTCGGTTTTGCCTTTGTGCAAGTATGTTTATTTGAAAAAGTCCATTTATGTTTACCAACTTCACGTGTACGTTTACACTATTTTCAAAATGTATGTATTTCCCAGTTTGTACATGGGCGACCAACAGCTGTGATATGTCAGTGTTCATTTTATATAATACAATACACTAGGAACTAGTGGACTTTTCTTAGTTTTAATGTAAAATAAAGGAGTATTGTAAATAATCGTCCTTAACCTCTTATGGTTTTAACAAAGCATAAGATTATAGGCTTTGACTTTGGTTTTATTGATTTGAATTATATCAAATTGGTCTATAAATGTTTAAATAATCATGTTTCACCAATGTTCTCTGAATTATTAAGCAGACGGCAAAGTTCTCATAGGGCGAACACAAGGGCCACTGTCAGAGGTGACTGTCTAGATCCAAAGTGTAAGACCTCTTTTGGTCAGTCTGCTTTCTCTGTAAAGGGGCTAAAACTCTGGAATGCTTTACCCACTAATTTAAAAAAGTTCAAGTGTGAGCGCATACAGGCTCATCTGCTTCAGCTATCTTTGTGGGCAAAGTGGCGTCATCAACTTGTGAAGGCTTGGAATGCCAGAGGGAATCGGATATGCAAGTTTAGAGATGTCAGATGTCCAGATATCTGATATGTACCCGATTTAAAACCACATTTATAAGTGCCTCAGCTCAGATGTGTGAAAATGTGAGCAGCAAATTACGATATTCATCAGATGCGAGTAAAAAAAAAAAAAATCTGATTTTTTGAGCCAAGGCTCATTGCAACTGATTATAAATCATTAATAAAAAGTAGTGCTGTCAGTTAAAGGGATACTTCACCTCTGGAAAGATGAATGTGTATATAAAATGGGTCATTTATGTAGAAGAAATGTGAAATTATTTTTGAATTTGGAGTTTTCTAAACTGAGAAAAGCCAGAAAATGTATTTTTGGCTGATGTGGATGAAAGACAACAACTCCCAGAAGCACTTGCTTCACTGCCCTAGGAGGCCACTCCTACTGGTAACAGAGCTCAGTAGTTAAACAAGAAGTCTAGGCTACTAGTTAGTCTCTGTGATGAGTCTGCCCGAAAATGTGTTTCGAGATCGTCCAAAATATCCGGGATTCGGCTTTTGCGTTCTACAGTCGCCATTCATTATGTTTACTGTGGTGAGCAGGACGAGGATGGGGTGAGAACAGCGGAAGGCGGCTGACGTGATTACCGATGAGCGACAGCCTCAATGTGCGGGTTAAAAACATGCAGAACAGCCCCTACAACTGACTGTAGTCTTTAGCCTCTGGCCAAAAAATCCTCCAAAGATGCACAATTATGATTTTTGCGTCATCAGAGGATTTTTTTCCAGACCAGAAATACATAAATCTCTTGTCTCAGGGGGATATGAGAGTGGAAAGCATGGTAATTTGAAAATATTAAAGGCTTTCTACTAATACAAAGCTTAATGCTAAATCCTGAAGTATCCCTTTAAACGTGTTACTAACAGCGCTAACCCAGACCCAACTGGGTAAATTTTTTTTTAATAACAAATAATTTATCTGGAGCATTTATGCTGATGTGTATGGAGGCGACACTTGGGCCTACAGAAAAAAGCCTTTGTGGGCGGGAGACCGTAACCTAGAAAGTAGTTGAGAACATCAGTTATAATGACCCACGTATTAAAAAAATTGTCTGGTTTAAATCTGGCTCATAATTACAGTTAATGTGTCGGGCCGGGCCGGGCTCGGACACAACAGGCTCGAGTAGGGTCGGGCTTGATTTTGGATGTGGATGACTTCAGACAGCACAAGGATACCACAGCTAAGAACAAACCTACCGCGGATCCACTTTTCCATGTTGATAAGAGCATTAAAATTAGAAGAAAAAAAAAATAATGGGACAAATAGAAATCAAGGGACATTTAGAATAAATAAAAATGTGCGATTAATTGCAAGTTAACTATGACATTAGTGCGATTAAATATTTTAATAGTTAGACAGCAGTAATAAAAACTTTTTTAAAATGTGTAGAATTGAGTATGTAATAACTGACAGCAGAATATATGTCGTATATATATATCTATAAGTATATAAAAAGTATATAAATGTTTATTTTTTTAGAAAATGACTAATCGTTTTGCTAGATAAGACCCTATTCCTCAGCTGGGAACATCCACAGCCCTTTAAAACACTTCATAGCCCTTTGAAACCGCATTGATTTGGACTTGTTAATCATCAGCATGTTAATCTATTTTGTACATTATCCATTTTATTTCAAGGTATTACATATTTAGCGGCATTATTAACGTTGAAGTCTTCTCGAAAGTAAGCATTCCTGTAGCTCAAACAATACAGCACTAGCAACACTGAGGAATGGATAAAAGTGTCTACTAAATGATGTATTAATTTTGGCAGCACTTGAATATAACTACCTTAAACCAAGCATTAATTTCCTACCTTGTCACAGCTCTCGAGGGCAGAACTAGCTTCCTGTAGCTTTAGGTAGCACATAGCTAGGTTAAGGTGAGCAGCCAATCGCAGAGCTTTGGCTTTCTCTTCTTCCTCCGGCTCCATACTGGACTCGTGCTCTAACCAGGACACAATGCGTTTGTACTGCACAGCTGCCTGCTTGTATTTACCCTCCTGTGCACAAGAAAAACTCAAATTTATGAAACAAATCATTCAATGAGGGCAACCTCATAACAATAACACACAGTCATTTTTGTGGTGATCTTGTACAATAATCTTAAAATAATATACTATAAGATAGATCTGGGTGGTATGACCAAATATATGTATCAGTATCTTTTAAGATTTTGGTGGTTTTAATGATGCATCATGGTACTTTTTTTATGACTGGACCTTTATACATGTTTACAGTGGCTTATTTTGCTGTCAGTAGCATAAACAATATGAAAATATTGTCATTTCAAATACAAAATTGTGGTACTCATATTAGTTATATCATTAATTAAATAAAAATGTAATAACTTCTTTATTTTTTGGCAAGTTTTTTTGAAGTAAGTACCTGATCGTCACACTATTCAAATTATCAGTGTTAAGGACGATGACATGGTAGCATTTTACACTGAAGTAGGCTGCTTTTACACAACATTTAGTTAAAGCAAAAGTTCTTCTTTAGCAAAATTACATATATTTAAACCAGCCTAAACCAGCAATTATCCCAGCTTTAATAGCCTAAAACGTTAGGAGATATAAAAAAAATTTTAGTGTTAGATTTAAATTACGCAAAGCATCTGTGACGTCACCCATAGACTCTGTGAAGAACGGGTTTGAGGCTGTTTTGTTTATGGGGGGTATGGGCGGCGCCATACTGGAAAATCTTAGGAAATACAAAATACAAATATTCAGAAAAGATACAGAGGTGGTATGATGTGTTGTGTCAGATCATGGCCGAGACGTCAAATTCGCTTGGCGCAGCCCGTTATCAGCTGTCAATCAAAGTTAAACGCCCTTATTTATCATACATTTTATATATAAATATGATCTAAACTAACGAGTTAGAAAAAAAATTCACCCCCCTCACAGTTGAACATATTGAAGATTACAATAAAAGACAATGGGACCAAACTGTAAAAGCATGAATTTATGCTGTGAAAACAGATATTTTAACATGACGTCTATGGACGTGTTCCCTTTTGGGACCGGCCTCTAGCGGATTTGAGATGTATTGCAGTTTTTCGCACTTCAGGATTAGAATGTCGCCGCTTGGTTATACCGCATAGCACTATTGAATTTAAATGGATGTAGAGCATGAATACATGTCGGTGTAGATGACATTGTTTCTACCTTAAAATACTGAGTTCCTTTCTCTTTGACGATGGCGCTTTGTTCCAGTTTCTCAAAAGAGTTCATTTCCCAGGATTCTTTGGCCTGTGGGACAGGACACAGCATTTTAACCTCATGACAATGACTTTGTACAGACATTACTGCGTAGCTGATCATTTATGGTCTGTAATTAGTATTAAGTATTAAAGCATGACTATTTTTACAAAGCTAGAATATTAATTGTAGGGGTGGATTTAAAGGCCAAAAACTTGCGTCACGATACGGTTAATTTTATATTAAAAACCCACAAGTTCCCTATAATAAAAACCCCCATAACATGACATTCCCATATACTGAGTAATGCGGGTGTAAATTTAGCTCTGCACTTCTTTTATTTAGGAGGACACACTGACCTTCTCAAATGCTTTCAGTGTAATTTTGTACTGCAGTGTAGCATTAGGTGGAATGTCAAATTTGTTGCTGCCAGCAGTTCCATAGCCATACCTGAAATTCAAAAATAAATTAATGAATACATGAATTAAAAGATTCACAGATACTGTGCACAGGTGTAAGAAATGTGTGTTTACTTTGGTTTGATGGTGAAGAGCGCCTCCTCTCCCTGCTCCATGGACTGCAAGGCTTTCTCTACGCCTGGAGGCAGACCCAAACTCTCTCCATCTCCCACCTCAAACTTCAACTCACGCTCGTCAAAAACACGGTCTTCGTGACGGCCCACCAAACACACTACACCAAAGAAAAGGAAAATTAACTATGGTGCACAAAGAATGATTAAATTGGTTTTGCTTCATTCTTCTGATAACTTTGCATTAACTTTCAGACTGCCGTGTAGATGATCACGCAACCACTAAACAGCACCGAGTTCCAATTAGAAGTAGGGATGTAACGATTCACTCGCAACCGGTTGAAAATCGATAAAAATGTGTGTCCGTTCAAGTCAGCTGAAATGTTAAAAGAATCGCGATACACGTTTTAAACAGGAGGGCGTGTTTACTGTATAGCCTACTATGAAGTTGTGAAACTCGCTTTACAGGCACAATAGCAGCGAGCACACACTGGCGCGAAGCTAGTGAGTGTTTTCACTTCATTCATGGAACTTGAGCTTGTGTGAGCCATTATCATTATCATGAAAACAGATCTCAGAAAACAGTTGACTAGGTACCAATGTGTTATTGGACCAAAGGTTCATTTTGCGCTGGAGTGGTCCTTTTAACTAGGCCAGATGAAACAACGCTAACAAACAGAAGAAACAGTATTTTACTAGGGGTGGGAATCACTAGGCTCCTCACGATTCGATGCTAAAGCGATTATGGAATGTCTAAATCTTTTGTGTGTGTGTGTGTGTTTGTGTGTGACTATAAATACTTTGCTTTAAAAGTACAAAGTAATGACCCATAAAGAATTAACATACAATATATTTTATTAAATGTGCATTGTGCAACATTTCATGTTAAAAATACCCGTTTTTCTAAACCATACATGCTTAAAGGTCCCCTGACATGGGTTTTTTGTATTATTTTATACTGTTTCCTGGGTTGCCCTTATAATGTTAGTATGTTTTTTAGATCAAAAATAGTCATAATTTAGAAATAAAAGGCATTTTTCCTAGCCTGATTTTAGCCTCTGCTTTGAATGCTCGGTTAGAAGGGGCGTGTCTGTACTGTATATATATATATATATATATATTAGTCTATATTCGTCATTCAAAAAGGAAAACTGACGCTGCCGGCTGCAGATACACATAACGTAAACAAAGCAGTGCAATTATTTTCATCCTACTCAAAGAAACGATGTGAAGTTGATAATAGTCTGGCTTGACTTACTGATGCATAAACAGTATCTAACGATTTTGAGAGAAAGATCAACTAACCTGTCTTCTGCCTGCTGGACTAGTGTTGGTCCTATCGTCAGCCTGTGAGATCGGCGATACACGATATTATCGTGAGGGGGCGGGGCTAACTTATTTGATTATTAACTTGATTATTTAGCATACTCATTAATTTGCTTGTTTTATTAGCCTACTTCGTTTTATAAACGAGAATCTTTTTTTCTATTTTGCTAGCAAAGGTGGAGTGTTTAGTAATAGGATCAGGTTATTTCCTGGTATAGTGAGGTAAAAAAAGATCCTAATACTTTTGTTTGTCAACGGGAAATTTACGGACACATTAGCCTATCCTCATGCCGTTACATGCAGCATTTTGACTAGGGCCTATTTCTGCACGAGATGAAAACACGTTTATTTCTTGGGTCAGAAAGAGTCGGAGTTTGCGATATGTGTCCCCCTACCATTGCGCTCTCTGTCTGGATGCACTTCACATGCGCACTTCAGTAAGCACGAAGTACGCGGGTTAATGTGTTTTAAATGCCGGGAGAAACCAATGGCCAAACGTCTAGCTGAGTCGATCGGTTTATACTTATACTTATGACTTGACTCTGATAAAGGAAAACGGGTTAATGCGTTTACATGACCACATGCATTGTCAAGTTAATTCAGCATAATCGGGTTTAAGAACGTCGTCGCATGTAAACGCGCTCAATCTCTGAAAGTGAAAGTAAAAACGGACTGCTTTCGCCATCTGCATTAAGGCCGCGCTCCCTCAGAGACGACGATGATAACGGTAACTATAATACTATTTTAGTGATATTATTATTAATACTATTTAGTAATTGTATTGTTTTAGTGTCATTAAACGTTTTGTTAATGTGTTACTGAAACAAATACTGACGAACAACGGTGCCGTTTTCATCTTGGATCTGTAGGAAATTGAATTTTGCGTCTGTTAAAACGAGCACACTTGATAATTTGTGAATGGATCAACTTGCAATTCAATTTTGATGTGGGATGTTTTTTAGTCTGTTTTAAAAACATTCTCTTAGAGGAGTCCTTAGTGCGTGTCGGTATTGTTGCAATTGTTATGAGGATTGCAATTGTTATGAGGATGATTGTAAATTTAGGCAAGGCAAATTAATTGTAGTTCCTATTAATTTAATAACAATACTAGCTTTATAATAATAATAATAATAATAATAGGCATAATAATAATAATTTAATACATTATGGTAAAACGAGCCAATTATTGTATTGATATCATCAAAGGCATCTGCCATCGGCGATATCTCAGACTATCGTCGATACACGATACTATCGTCTATCGGCACAACCCTATGCTGGACCATACAAAACTTTGGGAGTTGAGTCGGCGCATTTCCAGAGAAAATAAAATTAACCCATTGTTTCTTCAGAGGCGCGGATGAAGGAACTAAAAAATAATTTTGTGTTCATTTGTACATCTGAACACTGATCAAATGCCATGCTTCGCTCGTTTGCAAGCCATGATATTTCGAGAGGAAAAACTCAAATCTCAAAGCTGTTTCTCTAGGAAAAAATAAAACCGCGCCTGCGCGTGTTCGTACTTCCTGTTCCTAGCTCATTTGGTTTTCTCATGGTCGGTCTCTGGGCGGGCAAAGCAGAGAAAGGGGAGTAACCTTTCCCCTATATGACGTTATATAGGGGGAGATTCTAGATCTAGATCGAGAAAAAATAGCCAAAGCTCGGTTTACACCGATTGAAAATTTTAGACACGAGGGGACCAAATACAGTCTAGGGGAACTCATATTAATGTTGAAAAACCTCAGAAAATGAAAATTTAATGTCAGGGAACCTTTAAACAATTGCCTGATGGGCTGAATGAGCCCTTCTCTGATCACTGCGATTGCCTCTATAATCCTGTACAGTAAAATAAGAGGGTTTCGGGACGGAATTTGAGACTGGCGTGACGTCATGTGTGTTCACGCTCACCTTGCTATGGCAGGTTTGTGTATTCGTTGTCATTCTGTCACATAAGACAATAAAACTTTTGTCTAGTGCCACCAAAAGGGCCAAATTGGAGTCAGATTGGCGTCAGAATAAAACGAGTCAACATCGGGAAGGCTTTCAACAAATGGATAGATCTCCAGTCTGATCTACGGCTCAAACGGGATCCTGTACAAAGTAATAACTTATTTTGTTTATGAACATGTTTCCATAATAATATAATCATAAGTGGATACAGTAAACACATAAAACAGTTAATTTGATGAAATAAGCTGTTTTCTACTACCCCCGTTTTCCCCTCACACATAAGTGTGTAATTTACTCAAATGCCTTTCCTTTCATTTATTTTAAATGATTTGCAGATTTATAACTTTATTACCTCTGAAGACATTATGACTGTAACAAAAGATTTGTGCCGCTCATGGTCCTTGGTTATGAACAGCTCATGAAAGCGTGCGTGTGCGTGTGGTTTGTGACTCTCCTGTTCGAACTCGTTTATCAAAATGAACGAATCTTTTTTCGTGTTATTTGGTTCATTCAACCATGAAATGAACGAATTGACTCAGACTTTTTTTTTTTTTTTAATTAGCAAACGTTTCACTTGATAAGACCCTTATTCATCGTCTGGAATCGTTTAAAGCCCTTTGAGCAGTTTGCAGTATGCACTGAAACTGTCTTTTGGACCTTGAACCGTTTGGTTACCAGTAAAGTGCATTATATGGAGAAAAATCCTGGAATGTTTTCATCAAAAACCTTAATTTCTTTTTGACTGAAGAAAGACATGGACATCTTGGATAAAATGGGGGTGAGTAAATCATCAGCAAAATTTTTTTTAAAGTGAACTACTCCTTTAAGACTGTTCTTATGAGGATACTCAAAAAACTGACATTTTGTCATAATTTTTGTGTAATGGTTTGTTGAAGGCTGAAAGAACTTGTTACTGATGCGCATCTTTCTGTGGGTCGTGTGTGTGTCACATAGGCAGGACTTAGGCAGACAGCGCATGCTCTTTTTTTTTTGCGTTTGAATTGTTTAAAAGCATTTGTATTTATACGAGCATGATTATACAACGCTAGTCAATAGGTGACAAAAAACTGATTAATTCGTTAAAATTTTTTAACGCTTTCAACTGAAAAATAAAATAAATCTACGGTGCTGCAAGTGATGAAACTGGTGTTGCTGAACACCGTGTAACACAGACTATCGTAGCAAGCCTAGTGCTCACTGATATAGAGAATAACTCCCTTTGGAGTGGACTTTGGGCTTTGTCGCCATTTTCATGCTCAAACAGCAACAAAAAAAAAAAAAGAGAAAAAACATGTTAGAAGAATAAGAGCAATTTTTTACCTTCCACAGATGCACCCTCATTAGGCTTTGTGTAGCCCTCCCCCTTAGTGATGATCCTGCGAATAATTCCACCATCTTCTCCATCAGTAATGTCCTCCCCATGAAACTCAAACAACTCCACCTGCCAGACAAACAAATTGAAACGTCAATACAAAAACTCTCCTTGTAATACTCTGATTAGTCGGTTCACCTGCGTCTGGTCCTAACCTGGAACACAAGGGTAGCGTTGGGTGGGATTTTGGGTGGGCTGCCAGCAGCTCCATAGGCATACTCAGGTTTGCAAATCAATTTGCAGATCTCGCCAGTCTTCATCGTGGCCACACCGATGTCCCATGCTTTGATCACCTGACCTGTGAGACAGAGCAAATAATGGTTTAAAGTAGTTGACTTGCATGCTCAATATATATGCAGCACTGGAAGAAGTCATCTGTCTCTGCTTCCATTACATTGCGACTTTTACCAATTACAACAGGTGTTTTTTTTCCAAATAAAGCTACAGTATTAACAACCTAGTGTCAGAGAGGTCACACTAACGTTTAATCTCCTGCTTTACCTTATAATACCCACCTTTCCCCAACTCAAAGGAGAACTTCTCCCCTCGATCACGACTGGAGTCAAACTGTGTACCATCAAGCAGAGTTCCGACATAGTGAACAAATACTTTATCACCGGTCATAGGTAACTCAGAGCTGGTACCCTCCTTCTTGATTATCTGTAGAAGAGAGAAAGAGATTAATCATCAATCTGTTAATCGCACTGCACTATACATGTGACCTGTCAATATTCAATGACCATGGGGCAGAAAAATTTTCACACCTAATACTTAATGCTAACCATACATTACACCAGGGATAGGTAATGTCAAGGGGCAGACTGGCCATTTGTGTGATTTGTGTGTGTATATTCGTCTATATTCGTCATTCAAAAAGAGAAACCGACACTGTCGGCTGCAGATACACATACCGTAAACAAAGCGGTGCGTGCTTACCGTTTTGAATATCAATCCTGATAAACGCTTCATTTATTCCACTCTGCTCATGTTAATATTGAAATATTCGCCAAAGAAAACTCAGGTAAGATGACGTAACATCAGAACTGCCTTCCATCTTTGCCTTTTTAACTTTGCTTGCTGTTGTGGTGCAGTGCACTGACTTGAACATCCAATCAGAGGTCCCTCTTTCAACGACATGTCAGCGAAAAAAGCAGGACCAATTTTAGCCGACGGTGTGGAACACCAAAAAAACATAGTCGGCTGATGCATAAAAACTGGCTCCACTGACTAGCTGCTATGCTGTCTAGATAGTTTTATGTTAATATATTTCTTAAATCTTCTTCTGTTTGTTTCCCTATGTTTTACAAATATGACCTAATATATGTTGCGTTTCTTAAAATCAATGTTTAAATAGCATTTATGTTTGTTTTGTGTTATATTTTTATGCTATAAGTGGTGTTAAAAAATATTCTGCACATTAATGGGTCAATGTGTTGTGATGTGGGATGTGGTGGGCAGAAAGTCCAGGGCCACTTTTTGGTCTAAGTCTGCCCCTGGGCAACGTCGATCCTGGAGTGTTGCTGTCCTGTAGAGATTAGCTCCAACCCTATTCAAACACACCTGAGCAAGCTAATCAATGTCTTCAGGATTACTAATGCTAAAGGCAGGCTAGTTTATTTTTAGGGTTGGGCTAAATTCTGCAAGACAGCGGCATCGACGTTGCCCATCCGTTGCACATAACCAGGTCCCTGCCTACCTCAGTGACCTGCTCCACAGCCACCACAACCCATCTCGCAGTCTCCGATCATCTGATGCCAACCTCCTGACTCCACCTCCCAAGACCAAGCACCGAACCTGGGGTGACAGAGCCTTCTCTGTTGCTGCCCCCTCCCCTCTGGAACTCTCTCCCCAAACAAATCTGTGACTTCACTGACCTTCCAACATTCATATCACTGATAAAAACTCACCTTTTTAAAATTGCTTTAAATGTTTAGCTTAGTACAGTGTGTTTTCCTTTTTGTGTGCATTTATTTGATATTGTTCTTGCTGCTTTTGTGATTTTCTTTCTTTTTTCTTTTTCTATGTAAAGTGTCTTTGAGTACTCAAAAAAGCGCTTGTCAAATAAAATCTATTATTATTATTATCCCTGCATTACACAATGACAACAGATTATTTTATCAAGAGTTTGTACATGACAAATTCTAAAGGTGTGCTATATTGCACGTTACAATTAGAGGCCATTCAGACGCTTATTTTTTAACGCATTACATTGAAAGTGTTTAAAAATCCAAAACATAAATGTGTCACTTGTAAAAATGAATACAAATTCGATGACACTTTGTTTACAGGACATTGCACGTGGTTGATTTGTTACAATGGAACAACATTGCAACGCTGTTCAAATCAACGGAAAATTCACCTTTTTGTACTCATTTACTCGTCCAAAACTTGAGTTCTTAATTTTTGTCAAAGGAATTCAAAAAGGAGATGTTATTATGCATCAATCACCTTTCGCTTTCGTTGTGCTGGACAAGATACAATGGAAGTGAATGGTTGCTAACGTTTTTGCTACATCTCATTTTATGATTCACACAAGAAAGAGTCAAAATTTGGAAGTGTTAGACATTAAGAGTGAGTGAATGACGACAAAATAATAAAAAAAAGCGAAAAATGTTGTTGAACTGTCCCTTTAAGCTCGGCAAAATCTCTAGAAAGATCTAGTAACGTTAACGCATTAGCAACAGGCAGTGTGCGAAACCAGTTAATAGCGTTTAAATAAATTAAATATGTATACGTATTGTATTTTCCTGCATAGAAGTGCTATAGCTGCAGTAAAGTGAGCTAAAAGAGTGAAATATTGGCTCTAACATTAACGTTACATGCATTCAGTCAGTCACACCTCCCTCGTGGAGTCAATGCGGCTCAGTGCACTGCAATATTTACCTTTAAAACACCTCCATCTTTATTCGGGGTGATGTCTTCACCCTCGACGGGGATGCTGCAACCTTCAGTCACCACCTCTTCTGCAGTCATCTTTAATTTAATATGAAAATGTCCTTTTAAACAGCCCAAACAATAGCCTATTTCCTCACAGAGCAGTCTTTCGTTTAAAGAATCACAGAAGACTCGACGTCTGCAGAACTAAACGGCTTTAATGTTACAATTAGGAATGGACCTGGTGATCTACAGCGCGAATTTGTAGGTTAGTGCCCGTTAAATGTGGTTTTTGACTCCACAAACTGGCTGAGCGATGCGTTTATATAACGTTCGGCCCCGTCGCTGGAAACTGAAGCGACTCAGCGAACTTTCCAGAGCTTGTGTGAGTCTCTAGAACTGACTGCAAAGTTAGGCACCGTCCCTAAAATATTAGCAACAGTCATTAACGAAAAAGGGGATATACTGTATGTTTATAGTATACTATCAGATTATGTTGTAGATTAGATGTGTATTGAACAAATAGAATAAATATTTGATTTATAAAATACTACATAACATGAATGTTGTGTAACGGATAATAAAATATAATAATAAGATTATTTAAAATAAAATATACAACACACTCTACAACAAAGACAACAAAAGTAGGTTACACATTTAGTGTCAGAATTTACCCTTGGAGATAAGTACTAAAATTACTAAAATTAAAACTGAAATAAAAATAAATGACGGCAAGTAGAAAAAAAATTTAATCGAATCAAAATAGCACATACAAAATTACTGAAACTGAAAATATGAAAGTAATTCAAAATAATATGAATACTTTAGTAAATACAAAATGAATACTGGGATAAATCATAAAACACAATAAAACATAACATAGCATATAAAATACAAATATACTGATCTTTAAACAAAAGAAAATGAACGGAAGGCGTTCAAGAAAGGGTGAAAATCTCCAAACTCTGTTTTCGGTTTTTACGAAAGAGTGAAATTTGATGCTGGTCCCTAGCTTCTAAGAAAATTTCCCTGGTTTTCATTGGCTAAAGCAGAAGACTGGCGCGTTTGTTCGAGGAAGTTTACACTGTCAGAACGTGTTTTCTGTGATATGGATAAAAGCGATGTTTCTGTATAGCCATTTACTATTTCAATGCAATGATTTAGATATTCATTTTTTAACTTAAAGTCATGTTGCGTTGACACGGTGACGAGTTTATTGTGTGTAACTGGCCCAAATGCAGTGCTGATCTGTTGAATTTATTGGGTGTTTCTGTATGTTGGAATAACCTGATCCCGGTTATATGATATGGAGAGCAAGAGCGGTCGGTTTCCTTTCCCCTTCCAGCCCTATCCTATTCAGGAGAGCTTCATGGAGGCACTTTACACTGCTCTTGATCAGGGGAAAATTGGTATATTCGAAAGTCCCACTGGCACGGTCAGTCTGCGCACGAGACCGGTTCATCTCATCACCATCTCCGTTCAGATGACTGTGGACGTTTGAGCTGTCTTGTGTTTGATCCTGCAGGGAAAGTCTCTGAGTCTTATATGCGGGGCACTGACGTGGCTGAGAGACCATGAGGAGAAGAAGAAACGAGAGGCTGCTAGACTTCTGGACAAACCGAAGGAGTGTGACCCCGTGAAGGAGAAGAACAGCAACAGCCAGCTATCAGAGCCAGACTGGGTGTCTGAGTTTGTGGAGAAGAAAGCAGAAAGAGACATGGTGAACAAGTTAAAGGTATGAGAACTGTATTACAGTAACGTTACCTTATTACAGTTCATCAGTTCTCCAAGTCATGTGTTTCCAAGCAGGGGTTTTCATGCTAGAGGAAAAAGGAAAAAAATAAATAAAAAAAATAGTAATATTAAAATAATTCAATAAATAATTTGACTGAAAAATAATTTGATAAACAATTTTCCAAGTAAAATTTAATACAATTATTTTTTAATTTGTTATATATACAGTCAAACACCTATATTCAGACACCTTCAACACTTCTCACATTGTCACAGTTAATTCGCAATCAAATATTTCAATAACTCAGAGTTATCAAATCAGTTGATATTTTACTTGTTTTGGCCATCCTTCTGTTAGACTGTCTTACAAATGAATAAGATTGAATAGCTGTCTGCTGTTAAAATTAAATGCACATTTAGAATATACCAATTTAGGTCAACCCATTACCAAGCAATGCTTCAGTCTGTGATGTAAAAGGTTTGCATTAGCAGTTAAAGAAAAAACACTTAAAGGGGTAGTTCACCCAAAAATGAAAATTCTGTCAGTATTTACTCACCCTCATGTTGTTCCAAACCTCTATGTGTTTATTTGTTCTACTATACACAAAGGAAGATATTTGGAAGAATGTTTAAATCAAACAGATTTCATTCCCCATTGACTACCATAGTAGGAAAAATACATACAATGGTAGTCAATGGGGAATGAGATCTGTTTGATTAAAACATTCTTCCAAATATCGTCCTTTGTGTTCAACAGAACAAATAAACACATAGAGGTTTGGAACAACATGAGGGTGAGTAAATACTGACAGAATTTTCATTTTTGGGTGAACTAACCCTTTAAGCAAAAGATGGTCATGTCAAGTTTCAGAATAATTTGTGGTCCCAAATTTTGATAAATTTTACTGGTAATCCACTGTATGAAGACTTTTTGGATATAATATGTTACAGTTTACTTTATTTTGCTCTCCTCGCTTACATAAATGAACTATAGTGTCCTGCACCCACTAGTAAAACAACTATTAAAAATTATATCTGGTGTCTGAATAATTTTTGGTGTGACTGTGTCATATGTATATGTATATCTAGCTGCCTTTCACAAGGATGATCATATGTGTAAGTCCATGGCATCTAAAAGATTGAAAACCCCTGTATATGAGAATTAAAAAAATCATCCTTGTCCTTAATTTAATTAAGGATGAAGAGCTGAAACGGAAGAAGCGTGAGGAGAGACTGGAGATGATCCGACACAATGCCCAGCTCAGATATGATATGAAGAGAAAAGTGAGTGCATGAGCAGTGGGATCTGAAAGACTGACATCTGGGGTAATACCTGGAAATAAACAAAACGTTTTAGGATTTAGAAACATTTAAAATGAAGAAAAGTAAAAAAAAAAAATGTTTGCAAATATTTTTTTTTTTTAAATTGTATAGTATAGCCATCACATATAAATACATTTAAATAAATAAAACAAGTGAGGATCTGCCTTATTTTAATTGCTCTTATGGATATATACCCAGATAAAGTTTGCAGCAGTTCTAGTCTTTCAGTCTTTAAATCTCATCTTAAAACGTATCTGTTTAGGCAAACTTTTATGTGATGTTTGTTGCTGTACTGGTTTTATTGTTTAATGTCATTGTTTTTATGGATTTTGTATGGTTTCATTGAGTGGCATGAAAGGCGCCTATAAATATAATGTATAATATTGATAATAATAATGTCATGTTACTCATTGCACCTTTAATAGGCCAATGAAGATGATGAGGCTGTAAAATTACTACAGCTCAGCAGAGAGGGGTTAGAGTCAGAGAGCCACGATCCAGAGGACGAGAGGCTTATTGTAGCAGAATATGAGAGTGATGATGAGGCCACGCCAAAGAGCAGGTATTAATTGTGTTTGTGGATGACTGGATGAGTGTGTGTCTCCCAGCTTTGAGTTCTCATAGCGTTACCTCTACAGGCTGTGTGATGATGACGACGATGAAGATCTAGAAGAGGATCATGTCACTAAGGTGCATGTTTAAATACTCCCTGTGTTGGTGAACAATGTGTTTGTGCATGTTTAACAGTCTATTTGTTTTTTTTATCTTAAGATTTATTACTGTAGCCGAACTCACTCTCAGCTGGCTCAGTTTGTGCACGAGGTACAGAAGAGTCCATACGGGGCCGCTGTCCACTTGGTTAACCTGGGCTCTAGACAGGTAAACTTGCACCAGATTTACTCTTGCGATTACAGTATGACTGATTTATAAACACCTATATGTCATTATTGTATATACAATCTCTGTGGGTCTGTGATATCTTTTGAATGTTTGGAAATGAAGTCTCTGATGCTACATTTATTTGATATACATGATATATATATATATATATATATATATATATATATTTATGTGTGTATAAGGGGATTTGGGCACCTCATTCTTAAACTCCTGTGAAACAAGAAGTTTCTTCTTTGATCCCATTTACTAGGGGTGCCAATAATTCTGACCACAACTATATATTTCCTTTTTTGATTATTATATTAATATACAGTAAAAACAGTAATTTTGTGAAATATTATTGCAACTGTTTTCTACATTATTATATGTTGAAAATATGATTTATTCCTATGATGTAAAGCTGTATTTTCAGCATCATTACTTCAGTCTTCAGTGTCACATTATCCTTCAGAAATCATTCTATTATGCTGATTTGATGCTCAAACATTTATTATTATCAATATTGGAAACGGTTGTGCTTCTTAATATTTTTGTGGAAACTGATAAAAAATAATAATTTTTAGTTTTTGCGACATTATAAATGTTTTTACGGTCACTTTTGATTAATAAATTTTTTTTACCAATTTTTAAAATAAAATTTTTTTGGTAGTGCTAGTGTATAGTGTTGCAATTATACTGATAAATATATTTAACATGATAAAAATCATTATAATAAAAACTAATGAGTAGCTATAACCAGGATTATGCTTTTACATTTTTTTTTAAATTTAATTTAATTTAATTTAAAGGGATAGTTAACCCAAAAATGAAAATTCTGTCGCACTTTAGATTAGGGTCATATTCTCCCTTATTATTAACTTTGACATTTGCCACAATAAACTCCTAATTACTGCTTATTAATAGTTAGTAAGGTAGTTGTTAAGTTTAGGTATTGGTTAGACTAATTAATAGGGAGAATTGAACCCTAAACTAAAGTGTTACTGATAATTCGAGATGGTCCTCCTCACTGCAGAACATGATATCCAGGGAGAGGAGTTGGATCCAGATCAAACTGCTTCCACCTTACCTAATCCTACCCATCTCCACGCCCTGATCCCTAATCCTACCCATCTCCACCCCTTAAATCTGGATCCAACTCCGCTCCCTGGATCTTGTGTACTGCAATGAGGTGCTACTGGAAAATTCTGTCATCATTTACTCACTCTTATATTGTTCCAAACCTGTATTCGTTTTTTCTGCTAAACACAAAAGAAGATATTTTGTAGAAGGTTGGTAATCAAACAGTTGACGGTAGCAATTGAATTGAAAATGGCAATGGCTAACTGTCTGGTTACCAACATTTTGTTAAAATATCTTCTTTTGTGTTCAACAGAAGAGAGAAACTCATACAGGTATCAGAATGACATAAGGGGGAGTAAATTATGACAGAATTTAAATTTTTGGGAAAAATAACTTTAACTTAAATTTTTTACATTCTCTGAAGAGTCGCTGCTACGATGCTAGGCCACTTTTCAACAATAAATACTTATGAACACATTACCTTCATAAAAGGCAAAACAGATAATTTCTGTGTCATTTTTGCCCTTAATAGAATCTGTGCATCAATCCAGAGGTCACCCGGCTCGGAAACGTCCAAATGATGAACGACCGCTGTTTGGAAATGCAGAAAAACAAACATGGTCAGAAACATGAACACAATCTCAGCCAATTCAAACCTAGTGTTATTGCTACAGTATTTCAAATGATCCAATGATTACAAAATCTGGAGAGAATGACATAATGAGGAAAAGGTTGAAGTTCTGACCTCCATCTGCAGAGAAGCGAGAAAAAGCACCAGACTTGGAGCCGAAGCGGCGTCGAGGTGATGTCAAGGCGACGTGTGCCTTCTCGGGTTTTGAGAATTTGATGGCGATGAGGGATGAAGTGCTGGTGAAGGTGCGAGACGTGGAGCAGCTCCTACAGCACGGGCGGGAAACACACACGTGTCCTTACTACAGCACACGGATGGCCATACCTGCAGCTCAGGTACACACATACCCGCTGGAATACACTCTCATTCATATAAAAGTGTGTGCATTCAGTCTTTCTCTCTTTTTCTCAGGTGGTGGTATTGCCGTATCAGTCGTTGCTCCATGCTTCCACCCGCAAAGCGTCAGGGATCAAACTAAAGGATCAGATTGTCATTATAGATGAGGCTCATAATCTGACTGACACCATCTCAGCCATACACAGTACAGAAATCAGTGGAGCACAGGTACAACTCACTGATCTGATTTAGAGAACTCAAGACTAGTTAAAGTTATGGGACTCGACTGTCTTTGGACTCGGTCTCGACTCGCACTTGACCCTCTATGGTCTCGTTCTCGACTTGGACTCGAGTGAGCTGGTCTCGGCTACAACACTGCGTATATCGTCACGGGTTGCTATTTCATAATTGCGGTTACGATATGGTGTGAACGGAACGCGGCATAAGCTCGTTGTTTTGATTCAGGAGGAACTGTAAAAGGAGGCTGCCGTTTGTGGTTTACTGTCTACAACTCTGCATAGCCTTACAGAACTCACTGATGGTGTGCGATGTCTGGTGTGTTTGGAAATAGATATGTTGACAGGCAGGTAGGACATTGTATCATTGCATTCGGACCAAATGCAGTAATTGGACGTGCATTTTTTTTGGTCCGGAGATAACCATAGAAGATATACGCACATATTGAAATATTTAGAACACTTCTATTATTGAGTGCTATCAGGATGTGAAGAAAAAATGCCTACCCTACCTTTAACTAATGTGCATTTCTTATTTTTCAGCTCTGCAGGGCTCATTCACAGCTCTCTCAGTACTGTGAGCGCTACAGGTAAAAAAAAAAAAAAAACACATTTCACACGTTATTGAGGGTGATCATTTCATTCCGGTCCAAACCCTTATGACTTTTTTTCTTTTGTGGGACACAATAGGAGAACTTTTGAAGAATGTCCGCACACTGAAAATGAATGGGACTCATGCTGTTGAGCACCAAAATGTTTTTTTTCTTTTATGTTCACCAAGACTGCATTTATCTGATAAAAATATATATATTAAAAAACAGTAATATTATTAAATGAATTATATTATTACTGCTGTGAAATATTATTAAAATTGATAAGAACTGCTTTCTACGGAAACCCTGAACCGCAACCTAAAAAAAAAAAGTCAGCAAAAAAAAAAAAATCTGTAAAAAAAAAAAAAAAAAAAAATCTGTAAAAAAATAAATAATAAAATCTAGCATTTCGAGATTAAAGTCGAAATGTTTCGAGATTAAAGTCGAAATGTTTCGAGATTAAAGTCGGAATGTTTCGAGATTAAAGTCGGAATGTTTCGAGATTAAAGTCGAAATGTTTCGAGATTAAAGTCGAAACATTGTGCATTCATAACAGTGCGCGTCCACTGGCTCAGAGCGCACGCGTGTGCGTGTGAAGTCGAACTGCCATGGATAAACCCAAAATAGTAGCTTTTTACTTTTATCTGAATTACTTATCTTACTTTATCGTTATAAAATATAATGCGCCGGAATAGACTTTTCAGACTGGATGGAGAAATCCAGCTTTATGAATGAATGAATGAATAGGGCATTTATATAGCGCTTTCATATATGCCTACACTCAAAGTGCTTTACAATCATATCAGAGAATCTCTCCTCAACCATAAGTGGTTATTAAATCACAGGATCCGGCCAAATGATTGGATACAGAATGATGCACTTAAAATGTATCCAGAGCGTATTTACGTTGAAGAGGGAGACCGAACAGTACTGTTGTGTTCTCGACCCAGATAGTGTTGACTAGACGAGCACGAAAACACCTCAGAAACACTGCCACTAGCACGTGTGACGTGTGTAGAATTTTGTTGAAAGCCCAGATAAAAGTAAAAAGCTACTATTTTGGGTTTATCCATGGCAGTTCGACTTCACACACACACACACACACACACGCGTGCGCGCTCTGAGCCAGTGGACGCGCACTGTTATGAATGCACAATGTTTCAACTTTAATCTCGAAACATTTCGACTTTAATCTCGAAACATTTCGACTTTAATCTCGAAACATTCCGACTTTAATCTCGAAACATTTCGACTTTAATCTCGAAACATTTCGACTTTAATCTCGAAACATTTCGACTTTAATCTCGAAACATTTCGACTTTAATCTCGAAACATTTCGACTTTAATCTCGAAACATTTCGACTTTAATCTCGAAATGCTAGATTTTTTTTTTTTTTTTTTTTACAGATTTTTTTTTTTTTTTTTTACAGATTTTTTTTTTTTTTTACAGATTTTCTTTTTTTTTTTTTAGGTTGCGGTTCAGGGCTTCCGTAGCTGTCTTAGAAGCAGAACAAGAAGTTTTTCCGCTATATAAATATACTTTATATTTGATTTAATATAATCAGTGAGAACTGATTTTAAACTAATTTATTCCTGTGATGCAAAGCTGAATTTTCAGCAACATTACTTTTGTCTTCAGTGTCACATGATCCTTCAGAAATCATGCTAATATGCTGATTTTCTGCTCAAGAAACTAAAACACACACACACACACACACACAAAAGTACTGAAATTGAAGTCAGCTAGAGTAATGTTTTTAGACATCAGATGATATTATCATTATGATTTACTGTACATGTCATTGTGTCGGATGGCTGCAGAAGTCGACTGAAGGCGAAAAATCTGATGTACATCAAACAGATCCTCTTTGTGTTGGAGGGGCTTGTGCGAACACTTGGAGGTAAGCTGTGCGCTGCATTGTTTTGTTTGTGTATTATCTTGTTCATCTGGTTTTATCTAGCTGATTGCTGTCATTTCACGTGAACAGGTAAAGTGGGTCAGAATCCGAACACCCAGTTCTGCCAAACAGGTAAACAAGCACAACGTGCATAGAAACTTTTCCTCCTTCATGAAGTATTTCTAAAATGTTCTTTTGGTTTTGAATTTCTTTACACAACAGGAAGTGAGCTGCTGACTATCAACGACTTCCTGTTTAAGGCTCAAGTTGATAACATAAACCTCTTTAAGGTATTACTCCAACTCTTGTGTTATTATGTACTATTATAATATATATTAATATTTTGAATTAGCTTTTATTTTTAACTCTTGTAATTTTGTTATGTGCTTTTGTCAGTAAGTTTTTCATCTTATATTGTAAACTTGAGTTTAGAGCCAGACCGATATATCGGCAGCCGGATATTATCGGCCGATATTAGGCATTTTCCAAACTAGCGGTATCGGCAGTTATAATGGCAGATAAATGAATATTTCAAAAATAAAATAAAAACGGACGAAACACGCTTGAACCATGTCATGAGTGTTGGAGTTGTATAGTTTGTCCACCAGAGGGCACTTTACACAGTCCCTGTTGGCAACACTCGTTGAGTTGGTCATTAGACATGCATGCATTGCTTGAATAACAATTAAAAGAACATCCCCATCAATTCTCTAAACTCAAATTACCATGACAAACTTTGAGACTATCATATCCATGTTTTGCTGCTGTTAAATAAGCTGAGAGTGAAGCGGAATTAGCTAATAATAATTACGTTACGTTGTTACAGTGTAGTTGACTGACTGTCCTTTTAACTTTTGACAATGTGACTGAAGTATTTCTTTAATAGCGCGTGACAGTTATAGCAATGAGACGCATCATCTCTCCTTGGCCTGTTATATTGAAAAAATATGTTTAACTTTTACAATTTGCAGTATGACATAATCCATTGCTAAATTATGGCTCATCATAGACTAGCTAACCACAAAGCTAGCTAATGCCACTAGCATCAGTTTGTTCTGTTGTGATTATAAAAGAAAAGAATTTTCTTTTTAAAATGTATTATCATATTATTTTAGTTAACTCATAAATAATTACATAAAACGAATGTTATGGAAATCTGTTTGTTTTGTTGCGCGTTTCTGAATTAATTAAATATATATATAGACCATTTCACAAGATGTAAACAACACTGGTCCAGAAACACTTCCTGTTTCAGTTTGTAACTGTTTTCTTTATTTCACATGTAAAGAAATATCTTAAAGATGTTTGTTTAACTTTTTGATTTAGTTTTAAATGTTCTGTTGGTTGTATTTTATCCCAGCTTTCATGTAGTGTTAAAAAACTGAAACAGGAAGTGCTTCTGGACCAGTGTTGTTTACATCTTGTGAAATGGTCTATATATATATATATATATATATAATATTAATTTGACTGGTATAATTCTTAACGTGGTTTAATCTTTCTTTTGAAGGTTCAGCAATATTTTGAGAGGAGCATGATCAGCCGAAAGGTCAGTACGAGAACATGTTTATGAATTTATTTTAACAAGTGTGCATAAACACACACACACACTGATGATCTGTCCTGTATGTAGCTGTGTGGATTTGTGGAAAAATATGAAGGCAGCGGTGTAAACACACACTCGAAGAACAAAGAGAACCGTCGCATAGAAGGACTCGGGCGTTTCCTGCAGACGCTTCAGAACAAACCCACAGGTACAAACTGTTCTTCGTAAACATTTAGGATGTGTTCACAATTGTCAGGTTTGCTTTGATTAAAACGAACTTTGGTGCAACTGCTCTGTTAGTAAAGTTCATTTGAATAAGTGCGAATCCTGGTGCACTCCAAACCAAGTGGACCGAGACAGTGTGAAAGCTAAGCGAACCATGACTTAATGTGTTATTTTTTACTTTTTTGTTCTGGACCAAAAGAACCAAACTACAAGTGTGTAGTTAGTTAACGGTGTGTTAGACCCCGTTTACACCTGGTATTAAAATGCGATCTGTATCCAGATAAGTTATCCGGATAATAAAAAACGCATGTTAATGCAAGGTGTAAACGCGTTGTGATCGGATCGCGATCGGATCTGACTGACCACATCTGGAGGTAGTCTGGCTCGCATTGTGTCCGGATCTTTACTAGGTGTAAACGCAATCTGGTTGTTGAAACCACATATGTATATTTTACTCCTCCCAAAAATGCTAAAAAATAAACGAGTGAGAGCGTGTTGTATAGGCTATATGTCATGTTAGCCTAGTCAGATGCGACACGCGACACGCATCACCGCAGATGAGCAGCTGAGCGTCTATTCAACGTGCAAACATCGCAAATAAAAGTGAAAGTAAGTCACAGACGCAGTTAACACATCTTCAAGTAAAGAAACGAAATGATCTTACCAGGCCTGTTGCCACTCTCTCTTATTGATGTCTCGGATTTGGAAATTAGCTGATGATCAATAAAATGCCGCTCAGATCTGTTGCTTTTGGTGGCGTGCAATCCAATAAATCTGCATATAACGCAGGAGGTGAAGATCGGATTTATATCCGTTTTGCAAAAACACATTTATGTGGCCAAGGTGTAAATGGAATCAGTACTTATTATCCGGATAACTTATCTGGATACAGATCGCATTTTAATACCAGGTGTAAACGGGGTCTTAGTTCTTCATTATACATCCTGGTGTTGGAGGAGAAGAAGCACTCAGACGATGTAAAACCTGTATTTTTGATGTTCTAGATGTTTTAGATCAGCAGGTGGCAGTAGAGGACAAACCAATCATGGCTTCTCCAATGATGCTGGTTGAAAGTTTCCTATTTGCCCTCACTAACGCCAACAAAGACGGACGAGTCGTGATACAAAGGCAGGGTTAGTGGAGTATTTGATCACCTGCACATGATGCACATGAATTTGTCTCTCATAAATAATTAGCCTTTCTTTCTCCAGCATGTCTTGCCCAGAGCAGTGTGAAGTTTCTCCTGCTGAATGCTGCAGTTCACTTCGCACAGATCGTCCAGGAGTGCAGGGCTGTGATCATCGCCGGGGGAACCATGCAACCCGTCAGTACACACACAGACTATTGGAGACTGTGACACAGCTGTCTCGCTTATATAACCTAAAACTAACACATTAAAGTCTCTCGGTGTGTAGAATATCACTCTGAAAGCAAGAGTGATTTTTTTATGTTACTGTTTTGCAGGTTGCGGATTTCAAAGAGCAGCTTCTATTTTCCGCAGGGGTCACAGAAGACCGTATTTTAGAGTTCTCGTGTGGTGAGTTAACGTTATTGTGCTCATTTCTGCTTAGCTTACACTTTGCAATGTTGCTAACTATGTGTGTAACTGTTGCATAATGGCTTCAGGTCATGTCATACCCCCTGAGAACATCCTACCCATAATCCTTTGCGCCGGCCCCTCGGGACAACAGTTGGAGTTCACTTTTCAAACTAGAGACACTCCGCAGATGGTAAAACCTACATGTGCAAAGTACCACAGATGGTTGCATGCAAACACAAAAATCGCCTTGTTTTTAATTATGGCCAAAAATACACATAAATATGGTGACTAGGAGGGGACATGTTTGGTTCACTTAGTTTTGTCATATAGCCACACAATAATATAGCCTAGGCCTACAAGAAAATGTTGTTTTTGTAAATTAATATTTATAAATATTTGTAAAGCCCATAGTCTTTTTTTTATCATTTATATTTTATTGTGATTTTTTCCGCAGTATGAATTTTACAGTACAACGGGGCATACATATACAATGTTCAAAGACAGTCATAACTGATTTTCCTTGAAAGCCCTTAATGGCAAGACATTTTTGACATACCATAGTCTTTTAAATCCATTCACTGATGGCACGGTTTTATTCATTATTCTTATTAATATATTTGAATAAAACAATTTTTTAGGCCTATCTTTTTATAATTATTGCTATGTGGGCTATAGGGGTGTAACGGTTCAAATTACTCACGGCTCGGTTTTTATCACAGATTTAGGGTCACCGTTTCAGTACGGTACGGTATGTGCTATGTTCAGGGAAAAAAGGATTACTGTCAGATAAAATAATCAAACTACAAGCAACGGCACAAATAAATACAATAGAGTAAAGATACAAGTAAAATCAACTATGCTTTTAAAGTTTTTCAGTTACAGAAATTGAATAAAGTAAACAAATGTAAAACAACATTGCATCTAATCTCCACTGTATAAATTAAATAAAGATACATCATTATTCAAGTTACAAAATCTGTTCAGTCACGAGAAGTGAGTGATTTCCTTGCCTTTTGTTGTTTGATTAAGATTAAAAACTTAGCAGGAATGTTATGCTTCTGTCACTTTAAGACATAATGCACACATCTAAAATACTGACTGACAAACAAGAATAGATTTAAAAGACGATGAGATTAATAAAAAGGTTTTTTTTTTTTTGTAGCTTAAATATTCTTTTAACAATATAGCCCCGGTTTCACAGACAAGGCTTAAATTAGTGCCAGACTAAAATGCATGCTTGAGCTGTTTTAACTGAAAGCAACTTGCACTGACATATTTTAAAATAAGTCTCATGATGCACATCAGTAATGTTTTTTATTTACTAAGGCACGTTTATAATAGCTACTTAAATGTCCTAATTGAACCAATGACTAATCCTGGGTTAATCTGTCTGTGAGACTGGGCCAGGCCCATAGCCTATTAGGGCTGTGCAAAAATTAATTGCGATTAATCGCATCCAAAATAAAAGTCTGTGTTTACATAATATATTTGTGTGTGCTGTATATAATTATTTTGTATATATAAATACACACACATGCATGTATATATTTAAGAAAATGTGTTATTCATATATCAAATATTTTTAGAATATAGATTATGTATTTATATCTATATATATATACAGAATTTAAGTGCAAATAATTCTTAAATATATACATGCTTGCATAGGTATTTATATAGACAAAATAATTATATACAGCACACACAAATATATTATGTAAATACAGACTTTTATTTTGGATGCGATTAATCGCAATTAATTTTTGCACAGCCCTACTATTAATACTAAATTATTCAAACTTTATTCAAATGCTGTCATGGGCACAAACCTGATACATTTGTAAATAAAAAACAGACACGCATTTATCATTACATGCTGGCTTAGCCTACATAAATACACTCATAAAAGTCCAAACTTGATTGGCATAATGGGGCATTTACTAATGTCATTTTACGTAACATAATATACAGAACATTAATTACCTATAATATATATAGATACATGAATTTAAGGGGAAAATAAAGCAAATACTGTACATATTAATGAATAAAAATACCCATAATATTAGTAATACTACTGCTAATAATAATAATATACAAAATACTACATAAAAATAAATGATTCGTGAATGGATTTAAAATGGATAATGTTTTCTTGGGATATTCTTATTATACATATTCTTTTAACATTTATTGATAACGACAAACTTCATTTGAATGCTGCCTAGGCAACATTGTGCACAATATAATATAATATAGGCTAATAGTATAAAATAGGTTAATATAATCCTTTCTAAATTCAAAATAAAATAATCACAGCTTGCTACACAGCTTGTTATGCAGGTTTGTTTGCGCATTAAACTTGTAACCACAAGAAAAATGTTGTTCCCTCAACATAGGATCTCAAGGCCACAAATGAATATCTCGTGGCCATGATTAATTATCACGTTCCAATGAGTTAATATGTCGTGGCCAAGACAAAACTAAGAAAACCGAACATGTCTTCTATGGTTATGTTGGGGGGGATTACAAGAAACATGTAATTGTAATCTGATTACTTTTTCAAGTAACGAGTAGTAATGCAATGCATTACTTTCCATAAAAGTAACTAACGTAATAAGTTACTTTTTTTAGGGAGTAATACAATATTCATTACTTTCCGCAACATTGGTTATGATTTAATTTTCGTACAAAATGATTCTGTATAATCAATGATAGACTGAAAAAACAGGGAAATAACAAAAATATGTTGATCAGCATGACCTTTTTACCCGTTTCCTATATTAGATGGAGGAGACAGGCCGTGTTCTATCAAACCTCTGTAACATAGTGCCAGGGGGCGTAGTCTGTTTCTTCCCCTCCTACGAATATGAGAAGAGGATTCTGGGACACTGGGAGAGCACTGGTGTCCTCCAGCGGCTGCAGTCTAAGAAAAAGGTACACAAACGGCAACACTGACATTCAAAGTCAGTTTATACTCGAGTTAAGATGCTCTCTGTGTGTTTCAGATTTTCCAGGAGCCGAAAAAAGCCTCTCAGGTTGAGCAAGTGCTCACTGACTATTCCAAGTGTATACAGGTGTGTTATATTACTATACTTATATTACGCGCAAACACTACCGTGCCTCATGCAGTAAATCCGAATATAGCACTTTATATACAATACAGATAGTTTCAAAAGCAGCATCACGTGAATTAACAGGAAAATAACAGTTTTATGGTCAAATTCATCAGTTAAGAAATCAATACAATTTTAGCTGAAAAAGCAGCTCTACAGAAGACAATGTCGTTATTCAGCACAGTTTAATTCAATGCTGTTTCCATTTAGTTCAATAACTTTCAATATCGGTGCGGGTTCAAATTTTGTTGTCATCCGATAGTAACAGTCCAGTAAATTTGATAATATTGAGGCACATTGATTGTCTTTCAAACGATTTTTATAGTGTAAAATGTTTTTTTAATTCATCCAGCGCTGCAGTAATGCCAGCAGTGGCCAGACGGGGGCGCTGCTATTCTCTGTAGTCGGAGGGAAAATGAGTGAAGGAATCAACTTCTCTGATGACCTGGGCAGGTGTGTACTACAGTTAGCACTATGTTCTGATAGAATACCACACTATTGCAGTATGTATCCACCTTATTTTAAACATATTTAATACTAGAATGGCTTTTATTCGAAAGTACATATTACGCATTAAACATTAAAAATGATTGAACATAGAAATGAGGCCTATTCCAAATATCATCAATGAAAGCATGTTCTTATTTAATGGTTAAATGTAACAGCTTTTTGCATTTATGGATGTGTTTAGATGTATCGTTATGGTTGGAATGCCGTATCCCAACATAAAGTCGCCAGAGCTGCAGGAGAAGATGGCTTACCTGGATAAGCACATGGTGAGACGTCGTATGGGATGGTGCAGATGTGAACTTGCAAAAGCAAATCGGCCATTTCTTACCCTCTCCCTTCTGTTTCAGCCTCACATTAGTGGTAAAAGTCCCGGGAAGGCTTTGGTTGAGGGTCTGTGCATGAAAGCTGTCAATCAATCTATTGGTGGGTGGAGCCACATTCTCAAGACCGCCTGTGTTTCACAAAGGGGAAACTAATGCAGTTTGTTTAAACACATTGTCTGAAATAAGAATACTTGCATACTAGCGTAGTATGTTTATTATTTCTATTTAACACTATTACCACAACTATAAAGACATAAAAAGATATATTAAGCTATATGCAATCTGCCATTTAACAGTTTAAGTTTAAGATGGTTAGTAGCTGATAAAACAGAGTGCGGCACAATTTAACACATTTGTTTCTGACTTCTTACCTCTCCAGGTCGTGCGATCCGACATCGTGGCGATTACGCCTGCATAGTGTTGTGCGACCATCGGTACGCCCGATCGGGCACACTGCAGAAACTTCCTCAATGGATTCGTTCCAGCACTCACACGCACACAACGTTTGGTCCCGCCTTCGCCAGCGTCAGGAAGGTAAGCATACTGCATATTGTGCAGTATGTATCCATATTTATATGGATTTCTTATTTTACGAGCTTTAAGGTCAAAGCTAAGTCAGCTATAAATATATCAAGACAGTCATAAATATAAGTATTGTTATTTTACTGTTATTATTATTCAATATTTTACAGTACAATAGTAGTATGTCTTTGATTTGTTTAATTTGTACAATTTAAATAATAAAATAAAAAAAGATTTTAAATAATAGTATTTATTATTATAATAATTATAGTGAATATGTGAATTTGTCCTTAGCTGATCACCTGCCTCATGCATACTACATTGAGCTTTATTTCTAAATTAGCAGGTAGGATGTCAATCTCGTAGAGTGCGATAGACAGGAGCACGTGAAGTGCGATTGAGTGTCTCTCCAGCTGTGCGCTCTTTTAATGAGACAGACGTTCTCCAGCTGTGCTCTCTGTAAGAACGTCTGTTCTAATGACAGGAAGCGGATGATGACAGGATGAGAAGGATTTGTTAGCAGTCTGATCCTTTATTTGTTTCCGCAGTTTTTCCTGGAGAAGCGACAGAGCCCGCCACTCTGAGGCCATCGACTCGACAGTGTGTAAAAGTACTCTGCATTATCAATGTTTGTATGATTACTCTGGCCTTGTGAATTGTTGCGTTCTGCCACTTCTGTTCTCATGTGTTTTTAGGTTCAGTTCTTGACTTTCATTGAAATGAAAGCTCATTTTTACAAAACCACAATGTGAAGCCAACAGACTGGTTGATATGGGCTAAAACAACCATAGAAGATTAGAGTTTATTTTTCTGTACTAAAGCTACAAATGTTTTAGTGCATGTAAAACAGTTTTATATACATTCTTTTCTTCCTTAATGGAATATAATTCACAATCAACTTCATTGTCACCCTGCATGAGAAGTGAAAAATGTTCATCAAAAAGTGTGATTAAGTATTAAAGTCATCATAAAACAACCACAATGTCAGATTTCTGAGTGAAACTGGATAATATTAACCAATTGCTTGTGTGGCCTAGATGACATCAGATGAAAAGGAAAGTCATTTCAGAACAAGAGGAACAAGAAAGATGAGGGATAATTTGTACGGTTGAATTTCGATGTCATGTTGACTTTCATAATATAATCTTTCTGGCTCTAAGGGTTTTAATGACATTTAGAACACATCTTCTCATACTTTTGTTCATTCACTGACCACGAGGTTACAAAACAAGTGACGAAATGTCTCATTTAAACACTCCATAGCTCTTCTTGGAGAGACAATATTAGCAGACTCTTGCCTGAGGATTTCAGCTCCTGACTTGAGTTTCCCACTCAACTCTGGGTCGCCATGGTTACGCCTCCCAATCGTCCTCATCATCTGCGGCCGGTTGCTGCGGCGCTGGAAGGGGCGGGATCACATCTGACATCCTGGCGAACGCTCCGCCGGCACTGGCAGGTGCTTCAGAGGAGTCTCCAGCCCCTGGAACCTTGCCAGAGATACCTGTCAAATATTCACAAGGGGAAAACAAGCATCAGGCTGCAGGAAAACACAGAAACTGAGGCACTAAAATGAAGGTTTCAAACACACCTTTCCTGCGTAAGGCCAATTTATTGAAGAGGTCCGACATCAGGTCTCCACCGCTGACTGCTGCACCAACTGGAAAAAAAGATGATTGCTAAAAAAAGATTTTTCTATGTAATGTTAAACATTACAGGACTTTTTTTTTTTTTTTTTTTACGAACTTAAGACTTGGTGACAGTAAAGACAGTCATGTTACAAAATATTTATTTCAAATAAATGACATTCTTTTAAATGATAATTAAAAAAATAATCCTGAAATTACTTTCCACAAAATATTAAGCAGCGCAACTTTTTTCAACACTGATAATAATAAATATTTCTTGAGCAACAAATCAGCATATTAGAATGATTTCTGAAGGATCATGTGACATTGAAGACTGGAATAATTATGCTGTAAATTGAGCTGACGTTCCAGGACTAAATTACATTTAAGAAAAATAGAAAAAATATATTTAAAATTGTTATAATATTTCACAATATTACTGTTTTTATGTCGTTTTGGTCAAATAAATGCAGCTTTGGTGAGCATAAGAGACCTTTTCAAAACCACTCACAAATTTTTGAACAGTAGTGTGTATATCGCACATAACTTATATGGATCACTTTTATTGTGCTTTTTCAAAAACTTTTTCAGAGACACATTAACTTTCATTAAAACAAAAACAGCAGAGTGAATTTTTACTGCTAAACATCTTTCTTTTGTGTTCATCAAAAGGATGAAACAGGAAAGAATATTAAATTATGTTCTTTCAAATCTTAACTGTGGAATTTACATTTATTCATTTAGCTGACGCTTTTGTCCAACGCGACTTACAATTGCTATATATGTCCGAGGTCGCACGCCTCTGGAGCAACTAGGGGTTAAAGGAGTAGTTCACTTTTGAAAAAACTTTTGCCGATAATTTACTCACCCCCATGTCATCCAAGATGTCCATGTCTTTCTTTCTTCAGTCGAAAAGAAATGAAGGTTTTTGATGAAAACATTCCAGGATTTTTCTCCATATAATTCACTTTACTCAAACGGTTCAAGGTCCTAAAGACAGTTTCAGTGCAAACTGCAAACTGTTCAAAGGTCTTTAAACGATTCCAGACGATGAAAACGCCTTATTCACAGCAGCGCCATCTTTGATTTTTAATGAGAATGAAAGCGCGGCTGTGAGGGATAGACTTGCATCTCTTCAATGGGCTGTACTGTTATTTAATGTGTTTTTGGATTGTTCTGCTCATGAAACACTGGAAAAATATCTTTCCAAGAAATGTCAGTTGACAAAAAACTCCCGACAATGTAAGCTGTGGAAAATTGTAAGTAATCTAGCCGCTTTATTCAGCTTTGGAAACACGGTAAGTCTATCCCTCACAGCCTCACTTTCATACCTGTCATGGCGCTGCTCTGAATAAGGTCTATAAGGGTCTTATCAAGCGAAACGATCGGTCATTTCAAAAATAAATAACAAAGTTTAAGTTTTATAAGCTCAAATGCTCGCCTTGCTCTGTTTTGCGATGCGCGTTTGTTACTCTCCTGTTCGAACTCGTTCATCAAAATGAACGAATCTTTTTCCAAGTCAATTTGTTCGTTTTGTTCGTTGAATGAACCAAATGACTCGGAAAAAGATTCGTTCATTTGATGAACGAGTTCGAACAGGAGAGTCACGAACGCGCATCGCAAAACAGAGCAAGGCGAGCATTTGAGCTTATAAAACTTAAACTTTGTTTTTTTTTTTAAATGAGCGATCGTTTCGCTTGATAAGACCCTTATTCATTGTCTGGAATCGTTTGAAGCCTTTTGAACAGTTTGCAGTTTGTACTGAAAGTGTCTTTTGGACCTTGAACCATTTGGTTCCCATTGAAGTCCATTATATGGAGAAAAATGCTGGAATGTTTTCATCAAAAACCTTAATTTCTTTTCGACTGAAGAAAGAAAGATATGGACATCTTGGATGACATGGGGGTGAGTAAATTATCAGCAAAAAGTTTTTTTTTAAAAAGTGAACTACTCCTTTAAGTGTCTTGCTCATTGGTGTCTTATCCAGTGTGCCATCACCACCCCACATTTATTCTCAAGTCCTAAATCATTAGAAATTACCTCTCAGAGATGACTAACTCAAAAGACCACTTAGTTTATCCAATGACACTATATCAATGAAGAACTTGTCTTAAATATCTGAGACTTTGTGAGTCAAGAGCCAGTCGATTTCAGAGCAAATGTCAAACAGATTTAAAAAGGCTTAATAGGGCAGATTTAATGAAAGTAAATGTCTCTTTTGACATTTCCAAATACCACAGCGCTCTTCCTTACATCGGTGATACTGAAACAATGAATTCCTCGTTTTAAAAAAAGAATACTTTGTACACTTATTATATTGCTTTTGCTAATTAATTGCAAGTACATTTTTACATATATTCTGGGTGGTTGCTAGGATGTACCTATGCGATTACTGGGTTGTTTCTTACTGACCCAAGTCTTACATACGACTTGGGTGCCATAGCATGTGTTATGCTCGTCTTAGCAAACACTACTAATAAGTTCTTATTCTAATAACAGTTTAGCTAATGTTAACACCCTCTAATTGACCCTGTTTGACAGTATGCACGGCCTGCTTTTAGCACAGAGTGTAAACACTGGTGGCGTCTTACCTTGCTCTTGCTCCTTCTGTTTCTTCTTCTCCATCTTGCGGCCCTTCACATTGCGGAGGTTTGCTTTGCCGATACCGCCGGCATTTCGGATCGACTCAAGCAGGCTTGCTCGCCCGTCCGACGGCTTTACCACCTCAGTAGGGGCGCCTTTCATCCCACCTTGTAAACACAAAAGAATGTGTTTAGCATACTTTTCTAAAGCAATCAATTGATAAAACGTAACAGTAAAAGCTTTTATAATGTGAGGTTTATTTTAAATAAATGCTGTTCTTTTGAACTTTCTATTCTTTAAAAAAACATTGATGATAATAATAAATATTTCTTGAGCAAATCAGCATATTAGAATGATTTCTGAAGGATCATGTGACACTGAAGACTGGAGTAATAATGCTGGAAATTCCACCTCGTATCACAGGAATAAATTACATCTTAAAATATAATATATAAAATATAATAATTTTGATCAAATAAATGCAGTCAGGGTGAGCATAAGAAGAAAGCTCATTCCAAAAGATTTAAAAAACAAACAAACATTAAATGGTAGTATATATTGACAAAAAATATATAGTTTTTGTTGTTTGTGGGCAGAAGGCAGATATATAAAAGTCATGTTTTAAATAAGTTTAGATTTTGAACACTTAAAAAATATTATAAAATAGCAGTCAGCTGTCTGGTTACCAACATTCTTCAAAATATCTTCTTTTATGTTCAACGGAAGAAAGAAACTCATACAGGTTTGGAACATGTTGTAAATGAATACATTTTGATAAAACTATCCCTTCAACAATCTTTGCAGTCTAAAAAAAGTTACAAGAAAGTAGCCCAATAGCTATTCAATATGACTATGACATCATCACAGTCGCTTTGCCTCAAAAGCAATAACAATCAAATGATAAAAAATACAAGGAAAATGAATCTTACTTGTGGGAGTGGCTTGGCTTGATGCGACAGCAGTGAATTCTGGTGTGATAGGTGGAGGCGGGGGTGGAGGGGGCGGGGCTGGAGAAGTTCCAGGGGGCGGGGCCAATACTTGGGTGGGCTCTGGTGGAGGAGGGGGTGGAGGCGGCGGAGGGGGTGGAGCCTCAAGCCTAAAATGTGAGTCTTAAAAAAAAGTATTCAAAAATGTTTAGACTATGAAGAAAAACATTGTTTTTTTAAAAAATAAATATGAATAATATAAAAATATACACAGTAATATAATTTTTTTTCTTTTTCTTATAATATGACCTCTTTAAGTTTAAAATCTGTCATAAAAGAATGCTAATGATCCCACCAGATCCACTAGATTCATCATGATCTGTGCTAAACGAGGGAAGTTCAGGGATGCTGTTGCTGGCAGGAACGGATGGTGCGAACCCCGGGCCGAGGTCAGCGCTGTACATGAGGTCATCAGCGATGCCGGGTAGGTCAGGCAGGTAAGACGGCACATCGATCTCGGGCACTTGCCCCAGGTCTGGCACGTAGAAATAATTCTCTGCGGTCTGAGAAGAAAGCGTGTAAGACATCAGCTTGCATCCTGTTGTCACTTTTATTGCCTTATTGTAGATGTGACTGAACAGCTCACCTGTCTTTCTAGCTGCTCTCTCTTGGTGATCGACAGCGGTGCATCAAACGGTTTATCTTCCTTTTCCGTCTCTAACGTGGTGTGTGTTTTAGTTACAGCGCCCGCCAGAGGGTCAAGAAACACATATTTCTTATAGCTGAAAATACACAAACACACATAGCGATGATTGTATGAGCGGTAATAAGGTTGCATCGCC